TGAGGCAGCTTAAAGGGCCGAGTTCAAGTAGTCCGTCGACCGAGGTTCCCGCAGAGGGAAATGTTTCGCGCTACGAAATACGAAAAAGCCGCTTCCTGTCCAAATAAACCACCCCCTATCTAGGTTGGACAAGCCTGACGATTAGAACTACTGCGGTGCTCATTTAATTGTTGACTTATCGCTCAAAAGATTTTTTCCAAGCTAAGGAAATTTTCAATAATGTATATTTTTGCTTGGTCGCAATAATGAGCTACTTTTCGAAAGGATAGCCCTCTTTGCGTGCGCCAACTTTCAACTAGCCCACAAAAAATTTCGACAGAATATATTTGCTCCAGTTATGTTTCCTCACTTGCTTGTAAAAGAGCATTTTTCATTACGAACTGAATCATATGAACGACCCAGCAGTATTGAATTCAGTACTTCGCGAGACCCAAAGCTTCATCTCAATAGCATGAAAAACTCCTAATTAATGACATTTGGAGGAATCTTCACTGCGTGGAAACTGCTCCCATAATAATCCCTCTTATTTCAGCGGTGAATTTTTCTAGTGTATTCGCAGCTCAAGTTTCCAAAGCGTAATTGGCGCGTCGTAACGGACTTTAAAGGACTTTTGGAACTGACTTCATGCTTAGTGAAGAGTCGTGAGCACAATCAGGTCATTTCCTTGCTATCAGAGTAATACGAAGCAACTCAAACCGATACCTTTTTTCAAAACTATGAAACTATGAAAAAAAGACAAAAAAAGATCCAAGAAACCATACCTTTCCGAGTGGACACTGGTCGACGAGTCATCCAAAACTACAATTCTGCGAAGGACTCGGCCACTGCGAAAGGCGGAAGAGTGAGCAACAGCAGCTCTGTCCTCCATGGTAGCCAATTCAAAGAAGGCAGGCTGAAAGCAAACGTTTCAAAAAGGAGGAGTAAAGAACGAATGTACTCGGAAACGAGAAGGTGAATATACAAAATGCAAACAATAAAGAAGGGCGCGCGCAAATGGGCAGTTGCTCGACAACGGACGATGGCAGTCTCGTTGTTGAGCCCATCGTCTGTGCACTCCACTAATCAGTTGTCTGTTCCGCCACAGCCGTCCATTTGGCCACGCTGCGCCCGCGAAAGAGTGCTCCCCGCGAGTTCGTCTGGGACCACTGTGCTGGGCATTGTCCACACTTTGCGGAACGGATGCACACGACAGAATACGACACATTGTGATGGGCACTACTGAATGAATGAGCTGGAGCACGAAGCGAGCAAAACCGAACAAGCACAGGCTCGAAGTCGCGCGATTTCTCTTCCTTTAGCTCCAATGTTTTTCATTGACCTAGAAAACTTCTCTACTCTATCTACTCAGCTATCCGCCATGAGCCAAAACTATATTAGGCCATGTGCTGTACCCGTTAGTGCTGATTAGCATGTACTGCCAGTCTAGGTTGATGTCACGATTGATCTGAAGTCGGGAATCAGCCGTGATTTGCAGGTATGCTAAGAGGTGTTTGGTCTTTCCTTGAGTTGCATAAAGGACTGAACGAGGCATCGGTTTTGAGGTTTTGAAAACATGCAACAGTTAAAATATACGCCATAGAAAATTAGTTCCACTTACAATTTCGCAACCCACACCTTTCTACCCACCGTAGAACAGTCCAAGGGACCTATGCTTTACCTTTGCCACATGAATTACCAGTGCTGACAGCCAGCTTTTACGAAATAGCTACGCTCCTTCTCCAAATATTTTTCCATTGAATTTTGCACCAATCAAGAATTCATTTCTGATAGTATATAAGAGGGCGCTCTAGGATAGCAAGTTCCCCGCATAGCTGTCCTCAGTAAGCTATTGGAAGAATCACACGATAATATTAGTTTTATTACGAATACTGACGAGGAGATGAAGATAACGGTCCGGTTGTAGTATAAGGCGAAGTGGCTGAGGAGTTCGGATACAGACGACAGCGTGCGGTGAAGATGGTGGGCCAGAGGCGACAGCGGGCTACGGAGTCGAGAGGAGTCGCGCTAGACGGAGCGGTCGATGAGGATCCTCTCTCGTCGCTCGGATGGTAGCCTTAAGTACGAAGCGTGAGATGAATCAGCGCTGCTGTGTCCTGGCCTTTGCTTCCCCGCAAGCTGATGTGTGATTGGTTAACGGCTTCAGCCGAAGAAAAGGTTCTTGCGAGGAAAGAGCAAATGGCTAGGGCACTTCCCTTTCGAACTAATTACTTCTCGCTCATTCCCAATAAGGTTACGTTCACACCACAATCTTACACTGTGTAGCTTTGTACTGTTGTTAGTTTTTACGGTTAATCGAGAATACTTTAACACATTTGAGGAAATGGATCCCACACATTCCGAGTGCCCTGTCTGTCATAAAGGAATAGTCAAGCGCAACCTTGTTTCTCACATGAAAGATGTACACGATATTTCTCCGACGACAGCTAAAGGAATGTTAGCGCAGAGGAAAAAGACTGAATTGGAGTCCCAAGGGAAGCAGGTGGAAATCTGCGAAGTTTGCGGAAGTGTTTTCACTACCAAAAGAGGGTTGAGGATACACGCCAGGTCCAACACCCCGACCCCCCCCCACCGCCCCCCCCCCCCGCCCCCACCCGACCAAGCTGACGTTGAAGAGGCTGCGGAAGAGGAGGTCCACACGGCGGTTCAGTGCTGCCTTTGCGAACAAAATTTCAATACACAGGAGAAGCTCAGTGAACACTGTGGGCTAGAACATTCTGAAGAAGGAGCTCTTGGAAGAATGCAAGACTATACAGTACACAAACTTTCTTTCCCGAATCCGGAGGAATACAAGGTTAGTAATGGCACTTATAGCGAACTCTTGAGCAAAAAAATTCTTAAGGAATGGTTGGATAGAATGTGTGACCTTCACTGCACGTCATTCTACTGCAGGTCAACCAAGGAAGGCAGAAGAAAGAAATTAATTATGCGGTCTGAATTAGGGCTGGATTGGATGATTGCTTTTGGAATTTGGGCTGGATGATTGCTAGTTAAAAATGTTTCTGAGAAACTAGAACGACGAAAAGACTAGAAATGATTCCTTCTTCAGCCAGCGCAAAAATGAAAAGGGTTGGAATCATAATCGTTCCACCCATTTTCAATCCTACACTGGCAATTTGATGTAAACAAGGAGAAAACCAAAATAGATGTCGAAGTGAGGAGAGAAACGGAAAATCTGTCAAGGGTGTCAAAGGAGAGCAAATCTAAAAAGGCGACCGAAGTTATTGCACAAAAAAATATAAACTCACGTTGGTTAGCAGCTGCAGAAGATCAGTGTCACTGTGATTAGTAGTAGCCGCAGTAATAAAGAAGTGAATATGTAGGCAAAATAGAGGAATTCAGAGGTAGGGGCGAACTTGGGGAAAATCTTATTGAGGGGAGACGAAGATAATGGGGTTTAAACAGAGCAGATCTGAAGAATACAGTAGCAGTGAATACAGCAGCGTAGAACAGAACCCGAATACAGCAGAACAGCAGGAATCCAGAGTAGAATAGCATCGCTCACAGTTGAATAATCCTTTGTCAACGAAAAAAAGCCGTCATCGATCGACAATGGAGGGGAGCCGTTGGTCCCGCGACGAACAATACAGTAACCTGAAATTCAAACCGTAATAGCGCGAAAAACTCGTCCGGAGAACTCGTCCTGAGTTTTTTCCGGTGTACTTTTAGCGGCGGGTTGGTTTGGTGGGACCCAATAGTTGGCATTAACCTGCTACTCACA